CGGAGCGGCTGCCTGGGCGGCTGTCCTAACGGAGTTCATCCCCTGTATCCGCGTCCCTCAACTAGTTCCCCAAAGCCTACAGACGAGAGCACCGAAAGCAGAGCGTTCGCTTTCCTCCGCAGCCGCCCTGTCAGGGCGCCCCAGGGAGGCTGTGCGCGGCCTCACCTCCAGCCCACAGCACCGGGCATTGGGCTTTTCTGCATTTAAAACACAGACATTGCTTTCAAATGATGAATATATGAATGCTAAACCTGTTTAAAAAGCTTAAAAGCTCCGCAGTTTGTGCCAAAGGCAGTGAAAGCAGATGTAAAACCAGGCACTGTGCTGCCTGTCAGGTGTAAGGCCTGTGAGGATGTGCAGGGAGCCATGGCGCAGAAGCTCCCCTCCTCACGCTGCATGGAAAGATATAAAGGGAAGTATGCAAGAACACAAGCTTATTACACAAGTAACATAATCGTATGTGACTCCTTCCCCAATCCCTGCCGCTAAGTATTCCCAAGGGGAGGACAGTGTTAAACCCAGACAGCATTATACAGACATAAAATGTGTATTAAGGAGTGACCTGGCCAAAAACAAGGACACCCTTTACCTCTCAGAATTACAGTCTAAACTTTACTCTTTAATGGATGTAGGTGTTGTCTTACTATTGATTTGACAGAAACCCAGGAAGTTGTTGAAAGGTAACTTTGTTAATACCCTGAAGTGTATTTCCGTGTTCCTTTGTAGGAGTTATTAAAATTTCACTTAGTTCAGACAGGGATACTGTCATGCTTACATTCTTTTCTTTTAAATCTTTCAAAAACTCAGTGACAAGCATTCTCACTCTTTCAGGCGACTGAATGCAGAATTAGAAGCAAAAACAGAAAAACTGGTGCGTCAGGCTGAAGAAGTAATGGTGAGTAGGTGATGCAGACTTGTGTAATTTAGCCTTGATTCACCTGCACACAGGGCCAAGTTTCAAAAGAAATTATTTAGACCATGACAACTAGGAGTATTTTGGTCTCAAATGCAATCTAAGCTTTTTTTTTTTTTTTTCCAAAGTTGTAAGCTTTTACTAAAAACACATCAAAAAATAGTTTTTATATAATTTCATCAGGTAGGTAGATGTTCACATAGAGGCATGGAGCATTTGTGCAGCTATATACTTAAAAGCACATTAAAAAAATTGTTTATGATGTTTAAGAAAAGTATCTGTAGGTGGTTTTATGTCTTAAATACTGAAAAAAAAAAAGATAATATTTGAAAACCAGATACTGTTGCAATAACATCCTTGTAAAATAGGATCGACATTGTTCAAGCTGAAAGAAATACAAAGAATAAGCAACATAAATAGAGAATACATAATTAGTAAGAAGGAAACTTTCTTAAAACAGAAAAATTTCCTGTTTACTGTCAGTATTATCTTTTAACATTGGTGTGGCTGTGTACCAGGTAGAGACAAGTTTTTAGATGAAAATTGGATAAATTAAAAAAAGGGAACAGGAGTGGTATGGTTTATATCCAAAACAGTTTGGAGAAGGGATTATGCATATTAGATATATTAATTGTAAATGCACTCAAATAAGGCTTAAAACGTAAGTTATCAAGTCTTCTGGAAAACTATATTTGTATGCACTTTTCCTGCTGTTGAAACTTCATTTTTACGTCCTGTGGAGGCATATTTTTCTTTTCAGCTGTGATAAACTGAGGCTAACTGCTTGGCATTTGAACAGAAGCAGATGAAACATCCAAAATAGCATCTAGTCTCTTTCCTTTAAAAAACAGCAACAACAAAACCACTTTTTTTTTTCCTTCTCTAAATACAGATCAAATATTCTTAGGACTCTTAATATAACACGTGGCACTGCCAGATTGCACAGATATACATTTAACAACAAAAGAACAACAGTCTAATTAAAAAAAAAAAAACAAAACCCCCCCAAAAACCAGAACACCAAACAGGACAACTGCATTTTCTTTTGGATTATGCTTTCTAACTGTAACTTAGCAACATGAAAGCTATCTGAACATTCAAACTGAATTGTTCTCTGAAGTACATGCAACATATCAGTGGGCAATTATGGTTGTATTGCATGAATAAAGATTTATTTTTAAGGCTTATTGTGCAATATGGAAAACTGAAAATTTGTTCCACCTGCTGTGCATTTGCTACTCCTATATTTCAGGGAAAAAGGAGGAAGGGTTACAGAATCTCAGATGATGTTAAGCTGGGCAAAAGTTTTACAGGCAAAAGGCAATTACATGTTGTGGAGCAGAAATAAGTGTTGGGGCATAGAAATGGCATTTTACTTGTTAGCCATCTTTTCCCATGTTTGAGAAGTTCTTTTCCACAGTAGCCTATAGTTTCCATTCTTTTACATAGTAGAGTATAGTGGGTTTGATCTGTGATTTATGAATATGTGATTCACCTTTCATAGATTATGTTCCCCAAGACTGACTTTTTTTTTTTTTTAATAAAGAAAGGCCACCAGGAGATACTATATAGACCAGTTTCAGTACAGACCAAGTCATGTGAAGACAGCAGACAGAGGTATGTCTTTTACAACTCCTGTGGATAATTCGTGGGGAATCTTTTACACTGATCCTGTGCACCCTGACTTGCACCCTAACCAGGCTTCTGTTTTATCTGTCTTTGCAGCATACAGGATTGGTGAAGTCTAAATTTTTTTCCTATTATTTGAAATTATGCTAAATAAGTGTTGCTCCTTGTTATTTCAAGGAAGTCTTAATTTTGCTGAAATGTTCTATCTAGGATGCTAAGTAAAAAAAGCAAGGTAAGGTGGCAGGTTTATCTGCAGTACCAAGCAGCAGATGCTCAGCAGTAGGTGTTTTTTAACCAGTTCAGCTGGCAAAACGAAGAAATAGATACTGGTTCACGTTTAACTTGGCCTAAATGTTCCTGGAACAGGAAGTGCTTGAGAAAACAAACAGAAGCAAACAAACAAAAAACCCCCCACAAAAACCTAAGAGAGACAAACATTCAGCTGCCACCCTCCGGAACTTTGATATCATTGCACCTCTGAAGCCGGCATACCTTTGGCCTGCATGAACATAGGTAGAGCCGTGGGGTTTGGCCTGTGTGTTCAAACCCATTAGCTCTAGCGAGGATAGTTACATCCCTGTATTTGCTTCGTTGTTCAGGGGCATTATTATTTACTTAGTTGTTCAAGGGTTTGTATATTGATAGTACAGGAGGTGGGTGAATTTAAGATAGACTAATAACACAGTTTATCAAAGATCTGATCTGGTAGGTTCCTAAATTTATGATGCCACTAATCTGGATAACAAAGATAGAGGGCCAGACTACAAAGTGCTTAAAATGTTAAACTGCAGTTGGGAAACTGTTTTGAAATAGTATATATGAAAGCCTGCTAGAGATGATCAGATAATTACTTTTGTGCAGAGTAAAGGCCAAAACAAAAAGTGAAGTGTTTTTTTTAAATTTAATTAAAATTATTTTTTTAAAATTAATGTAAAAGTGTTTCTCAGTACACAGAGATGTGACAGTGAGTCTGTGATAGCCACCCAGCTATACTAGCAAAAGTTTGCTACTATAGGTGAAATTATTTCTGAGCTATCTGCCAGTTGTACAGGGGGGAAAAAAACAAACTCCATGTGTTATAAGTATAATCATGCTTTACAAACAAATTCTGGATCTTGCTTTAGTTTTATTTTCTATTAGATGTATCTTGAACAGTAGACAGAAGATTAAGAATTTCAAACTGGAGTTGAGTTACAGAGCTGTTTAGGGAAATAATGTGATGGAAAGATTTGACCCAACAAAGGGAGTTAACAGCTTTGATGGGATGCATTTGAAATAAATGAGAGTGCTGGAAAAATTTTTTAAAATATTGGCAGTAAGTGTGTCAGATTAGCAGCTGATCTGCTCATTACCTACATAAATTAAAACACTTAAATAACCGCAGTCTGTGTTCTTGTAAACATTTATGTCAGAGAAGAATTGAAATCCCATGCTGTAGTGAAAAAAAAATTAGAAATGTGTGCTAGGAATTAGGTACACTGATTATCTGTGAGTGAACATTGAGGCCATTCAATTAGATTAGTTCCAAGTATTTAATATTTAATTGAAAAAAATGTTTTATTTCAAAATTGTACAAGCAGATAGGCCATAAAATCTAAAGGAAGCACTTGAGATTTTGAAAACAGTTCCATTGATTCCTTTAAGGAGAATGAACACTAAAGCAACTGGAAAGAGGGGGAGAAATTGGAGCAAAGAAAGAGATAGCAGTGAGGGGAGAAGAGCAAAAAAACCATGAGTAAGCAAAGTGAAAAAAGAAGCAACAAATATTTAAGTCACCCTCTAAGTCAGTGTACATTTTAAAATAAGTTGTTCTGGAGGTTTTCTAGCATAATTTTTGCTGAGAAACTTGAATTTTCTAGAGATAAAGAGCTTCAGTGACACCGCATTGAAATAAGCTGTTGTTTACACTTTCACTCTTCAGAGCACCGCCAGGCTCATGGCAATGGGAGCTGTATGCGCATGGGCAAGCATGCTATAGGCTTGGAATGGGATTAACGGACACAAAGGGTTTGCTCATGCACATGCATCTCCTGTTTACATGCAGAGATGGAATTGTTAAACATTAGCTTCTGTTTCAGTGTTGCCACAATCCTCTAGCTACTTATTTGTGTATCTTTTCAGGATTTACACATTAATTTCACTTATCAAACAGCTATAGAACTGTATTACAAGGTTTAAAAATGGGTTGTCATGTGTGGGGAAGAGGAAAGAAACCATTAAGGTTAAACAAGTTTGAGGAATTTAGCAAACAATGAGGGGGGCTCTTTGTTTTGCTTTGTTTGGTTTTTTAACAAGAAGACCCTGAGACAACAGATATAGTAGGAACAAATTGGTCTATTGATAGAAGGAACATTGTTGTTTCTTGAGTATAGAGGGTGCTGTATTTTCCTGTTTTTCAGAATAACATATAACTGCTATTTCTGTGGCAGCAAATCCTCACCTCCTGCATGCTCCTAAAGCTAGCCAATAGGAAGGAGGCATGAGGAAAATAGGGTAAATAGACAAAAACTAATCATCCTATTCTTGAAGGCTGTTGCTAACCACCCACAGACAATTTCTCCAGGTTTTTTTTGGATTAATAAAATCTGGAGCTTTGTGCAGATAATTCTTGTTGATGAGTGGATGTCTGTGAAATTTTTAAAGGCAAGATCTAAACACTTGCTCAAATCAGCTGAGCAAAAAAAAATGAGGTGACTTGATGTGCCCAAAATTTAAATTTTATTCTAAATCTTTTATAAACCGGCATTTTAATTGTAGTAAAAAACAATAAAGGGTAGTAAAAAAGTAGCCTTTCAGTGCAGTAACACAGATTGGCACAACTCCTCCTGAAAGCAGAAAGGTTATATATATGACAAGAAACTTGACCTGGATAGTACACAGCATGCTGAAACTTTCTGCATGTTTCCAGCAGATTTTAAAAATAATAATTTAACCTGAAGTTCAGTTACTAAGAAGCATGGTTTTCAGCCAAATAAGCGGATAAGAAAGTTGCTTTTTTTAATTGCTGTTTTTCATCTGTAAAATTGATACTATTTCTGTAATATGTATTTCAGAGAAAATTCTGTGAGGCTTAATTTATAAATTGCTCCCACCTCATAATCACTTGATGGTCCCTGTCAATTGACTTGACAACAGTCCATCTGAGCATACAATTGCACTCCCTCTTAGGATATAGAGATCAATGGTTTATATTTTTGTTTTCTTTGTGTTAATTCAGGGATTTGTGTGTCAGGTAGGCATATTAACCACTGAGCTGTTGATTATCTTCAGTAATGGATTATCCGTCTGTCTTGTTCAAGCTGGTAACACTCTGCATACTGGCTAAGTACTCCCTGGTGCAGGGAATCATTGATCTAATAGGCCAGTAGTTGCAGCAATTACCTGCATTGCAAGAAATGAGATTCAGAGTCTGGTACATGAGTAAAACCTTGCATGAGGTACCCTGGACTCACCAGGTGATATAGACAGCAAAATGGGTAGGAATGGAAAGAAAGAGAATGAGACTGAATTTATGATTGAATTTAGTATGCGTTCCCACCTTAGCTGTATTGTTTATTCCAGACATACAAAATGTTATTCTCCAGATTCTGACAGGAGGGTTGAATTTTTATATTAAAAGGTTTATTTTGTAATACACGTTCAGTGAATTTTAATTTTTTTTTTTTTTTTTTTTCCTGCAGAGATCCACTTTGTCCTGAAGTTTCATCTCTTACACACTCATATGCCAAGGTATCAAAGTCAAAACTATCCTGGTTAATTTATCTTCTAGTATAATTGCCACATGTTACTTCTGGTTTTGAGGCTGTGCTACACTGGGGACAACGTGGGTGGGAAGCCAAAAGGAAATGGTGTTCAAAGCAGTGCTACAGGGACAGTGCTCCCAGGGTTTCTCGGTGCCACTGGTGGTTAAGTAGACTTACATCATGTTTAATTTTTGTGTTCTAAGTTTCCTCTTGGGTAGAGCATTGACAGAAGTGTTCAGCGTTTTGAACATCAAATTAAGAATTCCAAGTGCAAAATATTAGAACATAATTATATTTCTTCCTTTCTCTCATTCCCTCACCCACCATTTTAATACTAAAGGCAGTACTACCGCCTTCTAGATGTAAAAATAAACAAGTAGTCAAAATAACTGAATACAGGAAGGAAAATTTAATGGAAAAAGGAGATTGAGATTAGGAACAAACTCACTAGCCTCTAATTACAGTTACATTGAATTGTTCAGGAAGTGAGCTAAAGCTTCCAAAATCCTGTCTGAGGTTATTTATCAGAATACAGCAGAAAAACCCCTGTTTTTTGAGGAATAGTTAATTGAATGAAAGTAGCAAAAATATTACGAGATCTTCCTTCTACAGGAAATTTATAAGATTAAAATAATGGATAAAAATAGCATGGGTTTGAAGGTATGATAAACATCTTTCAAAGAAATGCACTCTGTTGACTGTCCAATAGTTGATCCATTGATAATAGCTAGAAGCCTTGTTTATGCATGAATTTACTATGAGTGTGTGTGCAAGAACTCCCCCAAGCAAATGACTATTGGATGTATTATAATTTGGGCATATGGACGTAAAAGTTGCAAGATAAAGACGAGTGCAAATAAAACTGAAAAATTGTGCTTTTGAGAGTTGGAAAAGCATACTTTGAAGAGTATCCTTAAGTCTGAATATATGAAAAAGAAAAAAAAAACCCACAGAACACTAGAAAAAAGTAATTCCTAACTAATTAAAAAAAAAAAGTCACTACTTTCTAAAAAAAATTTGTAGCTAGCAGACAAGAAGAGATGTACTTCTTTGCCCACGGCTCAGAACAGACCATACTCTGGAAGTAAGGGAAAAAGAACAACTTCAAGGTATATTATACACATATCCTTTTGTTTGTAATAAAATGTTTTAGTTGATATTTTTTGTCAGGTTATTTTTATTCATGTATGCTTCTATGTTTATATGCATTTGTATAAATAAATGTATCCAGCTTGGCCCTCCTCAGTCAGCTCCACCATGTAGCTATCTCTGTTTACTTGCACAGAGCACTAACAATTACTACTGAACATATGTGATTAATATTACAACAGTGAACCTGTTGCTTCCTGCTCAAGCACTTCTCAAAGCTGACAGTTCAACTCAGTTAGCTCTTTCAGTGAGAGGATGCCTAACAAGCATACATGCGGAAATGCAACTCGAGAGAGCTCGCTTAGGAGGTGCAGGCTGATTTGTGATCAGACTTGTGATGGGAAACTGAGGCCCTCGAGGGTCTCCCCTGTTTGGTGAATCTTGGGCTCACAAGACAAGAGTCAGTACCACAGCTTTCAGGGGTTTCAAGCTGGAAAGCTTCAGCTCTGTAGACAACAAATTCAAGGTTGTAAAAGCAAGAGATGGAGATCTGGACAAAAGAAAAAGAGTGGAGAAATACATGAAGTCCTGGGAGCAAATTAAAATTGCCACAAGATACAGACAAATACCAAAATAGGATGTGAATTATCTGCAAGGTGGCAGAACATAGAATTGACACAGGCCGAGGTTGTCTTTCAAGACTTGGGAGTCACTTGGGGGACCCTTTGGACCTCCTGTGGGCAGCTCAGTGGAGGCTGTCATGCTGGCACCACATCGTGAGATTTAGAAGGGCAACTGTGCAGATACAGGACCTGCAGGGTGAAGCCAAAGTTGTGGGACAAAGTTAGCAGCTAGAAGGAGTTTGGAGGTTGCATTGGAATGAGGATATATTGGAGTAAGAATGTAGGAGCTTCAGATCCTGTGGGAACTAATATAACTTTTTTATAAAAGAAAGCTGAGGAGATAACCTATGTAGCAGATATGTCACATACTTTGTGTGCAACTTGTGGGATCAATGGAGTTTCCCATGCCAGGCATGATGATACAGAAATTGTGGTCATAAGGCAGGAATACAGCTAGAGAGGACAGAGGTTCTGGAAGTTAACATGCAGGGGAAAAAAATCGGAGAATTTAAGGCAGAGGATAGTAGCTAAAGCCAAGAGGACGCTTCTGTGTTTCTTTCTTTTGATCTGATTTAGTTATTAAGTTGTTGGATGAGAAGACCATGCCAAAATCTCAGTAGAAAGTGATATTGTTTCTCTGCCTCTTATGTTATAAGATGAAAAATCCTGTAATTGTTTATGTGGAATATGGTAAAGATATCCTACATAAATAAAATGAGAAATTACCATCAGTGTATCTTTCATATGAATGTGAGCTATAAAAATCCATTAGGTAAATAACTGTATACTCTTAAAAATAGCAAATGTGCTTTTTTTTTTTTTTTTGGTTTGTTTGTATTAGAAGTAGAAAATCTAGGGTTTGCTTCTTTTTTTAGTTCAAAAATAAGAAACCTGGAAGTACAAAGTGCTGATGATGTTGCAGTACTGGAAGATTGCATAGATTTTTCTTCAACAAGAACAATAAGCAAAACTGAAGAAAAACTAGAGAAAGAAGGCTTACCAGGTTGTCTAGATGATGATGTTATTCCAAGCGTTGGAAATGAAATTGGACCAGGTAGGTTTCCTCCTATGGTTAGGTACTTTTATTCTTACTTCCTGACTGTTAGAAGTGGCTTCTCCTGGGGAAAAAAGGAAGAGTTTCTGTAGAAATTACAGGGAAGGTTCTAAAGCTCTTAAGTTAAAAGAAAACAAAAAGTTTTTTTTCTTCTTTTTGTAGTCCTGGAAGAAGACCAGGTCACATATGAATAATCATAGGAAAAAGTGAATTTTTATCACCTTTGTAGGAAGACATTTGGATGGTTACATATGTTGAATATGCACATAACATTTGATTCATTTCACTGGGGAAACAGAAATACATGATGCTAAACTTCTCTTTCCAAAAAGAGCTTCAGTCCTTTGCACAGATTCTGCCTTTAGAGGAAAAAGCCTTTCCTCAGATCAATGCTGTGGATCTTAGTAAGTGGCTTAAATGAAGTAATGTTTTGTCTACAGTGCTTGAATGAGAATCCCCCAGGTACTTTCTCATTCCAAACGGTGTATTTATGTTTGTCCTAGAAATACAGTAGCAAAGGGGATTGCAGCATTTGCCAGTGAAGCTAAAGGCATGATGCACATCTGTCTTTTTGGCTCTGGTGGGATAAAAGGGGGTTAACATTGTTTCTTACAACGCTAAAGCAAGCATGAAGTCAGAGATTCACAGCAGTAGTACAAGATTATACAAGTGCAGAGACCTGTAGAAGGTTGAAGATGAAGGTCTATTTTTATCTAATATACCCCCACACGTATGATCAAAATACCTGAATGTGTTGTCACACTTCCTGTTCATCTTCAGATTATCTCAGGATTCCAAGAAACCCTTTCTTTCTTATAGGATATCAGAGTCTCTCAGATACCGTTTTCTTGTTTACCATTCCCTCAACTGTTGGTTACTTTATAACCAGAGACCATCCTATTAAGTGATACCCCTCTGCCTATCAGCCTCATCAGGTGACTAAATTTGACCAATTAGGAAGCTAATTGTTTAATTATTGTTACCTCTTGAGAGAATTCAAGATAATTTGGGATCATAGCCACCTCCCAAGGCTGATCTGGTTCTAGTCATGCTCTTAGATTTTCAACAAGGTTTACGACTAAGTGCTCTTAATGACACAGAGATGTCTGAGAATGAAGAGAAACTGTCTGTGGTCTAATAACTGAGTACAGCAGGAAAAGAAAAGTTAAAAAGAAACAACCATTTTTTGCAGGTAGTTGTATAGTCCTAGAGTGATGTGTCATGGAGTTTACATTGTTCAACATGCAGAATAGTCATCTGGAAAAAAGGAGTGATAGCTGGTAAAGAGATGGATATGAAACAATGATTTTAGGATAGTTAAAACTGATTTTGAAGTGTTGTAGAAGCCTGGAAAGACTTTAATTTGAATCTTCAGTTTGGAAACAAAACAATTCAAGGCAATATGAAAGATTCTGTAATGAAAACAGTAATGGTAAAGGGAAAGCTATATTTTTTTCTACTGCAAACACTAGTAAATGCCAGATTAAATTGGATTTAAAGCAAATAAATTAGCCAACTCATTGCCATGGGATAGTGTAATGCCAAACTGCAATAAGTTTTATGAAGAAAGTAAAACAATTTAATAAGATAGAAGGACATGAAAAAGTATTGAACTTGATGGCTTCAATATGGTCTCTATCTCAGGATAGCCACTAGTTACCAGAAGCTGGTAAGGATGTAACAGGAGGAAGAAAGTCAGCCTGTGTGTGTTTTTTCATGGTGTTTTCCTAAATTGTACTTGTTATTGGCCTCTGCAGAGTTAGAACTTAAGCTGCAGTTGGTAAGGTAAAGTGGGTGAAATTAAAATAATTCATGTTACAGCAAATGAACACGTGTAGCCATGTGCAGCTCCAGATACTGCTTCTCTGCTTTATTCTTTTCCCCACGTGCCTACTGTGAGAAATGGTTATTCCTGTGTTGCTCAACTTGGTCCTTACACTGTTCCCATGCTTTGTGCCTGTGGAAGTTCAGGAGGAGTTCCTTGGGAATGGGCTGGGGAAACTAGGGAATAGGGAGTGAAAGAACATACTGTGCACACACAGCTTGTTTTTTTCATGACAGTGGTATGTTTCTTACCTGTCCAGGAGCAAGAAAATACTTCATTTGGAAAAAAACATCTGATTGAACTTATGTAATTTAAAATATTAATTTCATAATGTTAGCAGTGTACTTTAAAAAAAGCATGGACTCCCCTGTGGGAGGGGTATTTACCTATTAGGAAGGTTTTGCAGTCTACATTCAAATCCATGGTGTGGACGGTTTAAAATTACTTTGGATGTAACTACGCAAAGTGCAGCTACTGATTGATTCATTGTCAACATACCCTACAATATAGGATTTTTTTACTTCAGTCTCAAGGAATGCTGTAGTGTATAGAATAATATGGCAGAAGTTTCCAATATGTTTCAATTTTGAGAATTATGAGTCTGTTACACGTTAAAGATGTCAAGTGCAGTCATTAAAAGGGAAAAATCTATGCAAAGCTGTGCCTGACAAACTTGCAACATTGATATAGAAAGCTGATTTTTGTTTGCCTATTTCTCTTTAATAATTATAAAGAATGTAGTGTGTTTTTAAAAACAAGATGAAAGTGAGTTCTTACATCAGTCTTATTGCTTTGCATTGAATAATGAGTACTTGGGGGATATTAACTGTAACTTCTATATTCACAGAAGCTCAAATCAGATTTCTTAAGGCAAAGTTACGTGTTATGCAGGAAGAGCTGGACAGTGTAGTGTGTGAATGCAGGAAAAAGGTGAGAGCTGAGTTTTCTTATCTGCAGAAACAGAGTACGTTCCTCTTTAACAAATAATCACAACAGAATTCCCTCAGCCTTTCCTTTTCAAGTATTAAAAACTAAGGTTCTGGTTTTTTAAAATTTACTAACAATTTAGAGTCAAGGATAGTAATTTCTGTATAAATGTGGTCTTGGGCTAAAAGCTTGCAAAATATACTTAATGAAAAGGAATTTTAGGCAGGAAAGAAGCACTGTGAATGAAGATGTGCCCCAGATGTAGCGACACTGTGGTAGTGCGGAGTGCCCTAGCCAGCACTGCCTGGAAGGAGAGTTACCAGAGCCTGAGAAAGAGGAGGAGGATACCACAGCAGTCAAATACAGATTTTGGCATGCAGAGAGAAGAATGGTACCCAGAGCTGGGTGATGGGAGGAGAGTGATGTTCAGGGCAGAATGAGAATTAAAAAAACTTGAGAAATTTGGTCACATGCTTTGGGTGTCCTTTGTGGAAGGAAGTGTGGAAACAGCTGATGTGTGATCCACTTGAAGTGGAATATTGTAATGAAAACAGAAATTAGGCTTCTTTCGTTCTCAAGATTATACTTGATGGAGAGGACTGTATTTGGAATTATGTATTTGGGCAGATCAGCCTGAAGTTAAAGCATTGGGGAGCTACACTGATATTTCACTGAGTGTAGTACAAGTTTTGTGATCTGCACTGTGTGACAATGTTTTCAGGTTATGCTTAGACATCTCTTGAACTGTAAAACCTTGTATAGTTTGTGTCTCTCTGCCAGAGGGATCACCTCTTTTTCATGCATTTGTAATCAAGCAAGGTTTTTGAACTAACTTTCCATTTTACACAATTAGGTTATTCTTAGTTATGGTCTCTTAACGTCAGAATGCTTTTTTCCCCACCTGTTCCGCAGGCCCAAATGTGATTATGACACTCAGAACGTGACAAACTACCTATACATTTTCTCTCAAGTTTTTAATTTAGATTTAAGGAGCAGGATGGTATTAAATAAGTTTTTTGAGATAGGCACCTAGAGAAAATATTTAGAAGGAATTAGATTTTGATATTTTATATCTGAACTTAATTTTTATCAATATAGGTGCTTCTGCATTTCAATACTTTTATGCTGTGATCAGAAGAAAGTTGTTACATTAGATTTTAAACACATTTTCATTTTCAAATCAAACATAATTTTGTCAATAGCTTTGAACTTCTTCATTCCATGCCAAAAATACTTCAGAATTCAGTTACTATAGCAGATGACAGAAGACAGCCTTTTACCTGTTCTTGACCCTGTAGCACGCTGTATCAGAATGTATCATTTTGGGTACTGGTTTCTCTGGTGTGAAAATAACTTTATTACATCCAGAAGGTCACAGAAATTTCATATTGTCAAAGCCTTGAGGTAGATTCTGGGTTTTGTTCCTATTTACCATCCAATTATTGTAAGGAAGAAGTACATCTGTTTTAAATATAAAGAAGTGGGAGCTTCTGAGGTGTGGGCGGTCCCGTGACACGTAGGGTAGAGCACATCCGGTTCCCAGGTGAGAAGCATGTGTTCCTAGCAGCTGAGAGGACAGGAGAGAAAGACTTTTTTTTCTAGAAACTCCATTTCTGCACGTGCCTTGATTTCTTTTTCTTAAAGAAGTGAAGGGTAGAATGTATCCCTGAAATAACCTACATTAGTATCCACTTATAATGCTTAAAAGGTTATAAAAGAAAAATGCCTTGAACTTAGAATGCTTAATGTGGGATGTAATTGCCACCAGGTCATGAAGCTAATACAGGATTCACTTGGTATTAAGAGAATCTTGAATTTGAATACTTGATGTATCTGGGATCATTAGCTTGCTTTTAAGTCAAAACCAGATAAGCTCCTAAAACATAATGGGTTGATTTATCAGTAATTATATTCTTATTCACAGAATTTTTCCTAATGTGTGAATTTAGCTGTTCTCACTAAAATGTCACAAAATATCTATGTGCCACTGTTATTCATACTATTCTAGAACATTTTTATAGTTAGTGCTCAAAACTTTTGAACTGTGAGAAATTAAATGGTTTACATAGTTTGTCTTAGTTGTTTCCTTTCTTAAAATTGTTGTGAAATCCATCAGGAAGGATGTAAGCATTTAAAAAATGCATAATTTTTAAAAATTATGTCCATATCTACAGTATATGTTTTTTTTACTGGCCTTTATTTACAAAATCGTACTATCACATTATCCTGCTGCTTTCTTGCAATAATTTATTTGGGGTTTTTTGCTAATTACTGTCAAACAGGATGATGAAAATCAGAATTTAAAATCTCAGCTTAAAAATATGGAAGAAGAAAACGCAAGACTGCAACGAACAATCAGTATACAACGTTCTCAGACTGAAAAGTACAAAATGTTGTCACAAGAAGCAAACAAAAAAAGTGAAGGGTTACAACATGAGGTCACTGCGCTAGAAAAGGTATTGCAGATATTAGTTTCATTTATCTCATAAAAGGGAAAAAAACCCCTATCAAATCACCCTCTGTACCCTCTTGTGATAGAGTCATATCCAATGATCCCATTAGCTTTTAAATCTCTGATACATAGTTTTTAAAATTGTATTTTTAAATGGTCTAATCACTTTTTAAAAGGAAGAAATAATCGATTTTGCTAATTGCTTTTCTGCTGCTTCTACAATCATATATTTCTGTATTTTAAAATTAAGTTATTGTGTAAAAGACCTGCAAGAGACAAAAAAAAAAAAAAAAAAACTTTTCAGAAGCTGCTGTCAAATTCACAAAGGAATCTTGAAAAATAGAAGGAAATGTTATTTTTCTGTTTTTAATTATAATTGTTAAAAATTGCTTCTGGTAATAAAGAGTTTTATTGTAAACTGTAGAACCTGGTGGACATTTAAAAAAACACCACCTGCAGCTTATGTTAGTATCTTCTGCAGGTAGAGGAAAGGACATGTCTTTGTTCTTGAAAATGAACTGTTTGAAAACCAGCCGCTCCAATGTGGGTGAATCAGAGTTAACCTGGCTCCTGCTGTAGGCCACACGTGCAAACATTGTATACGTGCCTAGTCCTAGCAGATGGCCTGCACACGCAGCTTTGTTTGTTTGGAGCTTCATCTAAGAGCAGCATGTGTTTTTCTTTAATTACTCAGAGCTAGAGAGGTTGACTTCAAAATCATGTAATTCATACGGTATTGTGTAGTACATGTAATAGAACACGTGATTCTGTTGTATCGCACCCCCTCTTGATGCTTGAGTGCCTCAGCCACACCAGAACACTGGAGAAAATCCAGAGGCTGAAATGGGATGCAGCTTAAGAACATAGTAGTTTTTCCCCCTCTTAGGGAAACATTCTATGGGAAAGTTAATCCAGCTGTTACTTGAAGTATTGAAGAATTGGCAGAAACCTTGACCACCTACAAAACAAAATACTTATTTCAGGCATTTTTAAGATGAAAAACTTGGAGTCAAATATATTTAACAACATACCCTCCCTGGATGACTTGCAAAAAAAAATTTGATAAGGTATTATGTATGCCAGTAAATGTCAAAAAGCCCTAAATGAATTATTAGAATTCCTTCATTAAGTGATGTGATTAGCTGGTACATAATTTGCATTGCACGCAGACTCTTTTTTTGGTCATGAAATGCTTGAACAGCTATATTCCAAAGCTTTTCATATTAATGAAGAATAAAATACACAACATGGAAGATTTAGTTGACCCTGTTCTCAGCTCCATCATCTTGCTACAAGACAAAGAGGTTTGCATGTCGTGCAGCTTTTTTTCTGTGGAAACACAGGGGTCGGTTTCCAGCAGGCGAATTTGCATTCCTGGTGATGCACATGCATGTGTCCCAGCGAGGGGCTCTGCTGCCCTACTAGCCAGGCTTTTACCCATCTTTCTTTAATCAATCAGGTGGGCAGGGTAGTTGCAAAATAAAAATGTTGAAGGGACATCTGTTTTTGGGAACTCTGGGAGGAGGCCCATTCGCCAGTAGAATTTTAGAGGATCACCGAGATGCATCTACTCTCCTGTTTTCTTCATCCATTATGGAGAAGATTAAAAGTTTCCCAGAAATACTTGTTCCAGTCATAACTTCACCATAGCATCCTTTTCTGCATACACCTATCAATGAGTATGCCTCTCTTGGATAGGTGATGTGAAAATTAGAAGTAACCACCCCAAGAGCTGGTGTAGAAATGAGAAAATCAAACAGTTACTCAGAAATCAGGCAGTCTGAGAGGAAAAGGTTAATGACAAGCCCCCGCTCTACCCTGATTTGGTTAAAAGAATCTTTCTGTGCCCATTACTAAACATTTGGTAGTCTTTTAAAAAAGAGTCTATTTCTTTTTCACAAATGACAAGATGTGCTCTTTCTGCCAGACTTGTTTATTTCTGCTACCGTGTCTTTTATCTATATGCCCTGATCTTTAATCTTGTTATTCTGTTCCTCAGCTTGGTCGCTTTTCCTCATTTCCCCACTTACAGCACTAGGAAATACCATCATCAGAGATAAGAGGGACTCTCTTGATTGTTGCTATAAACACCTGATGAACTATTTTGTGCTAGATGAAATAGTTACTGCCCTCAGCCATCTTCAGCGGGCTGTTTTAACTCTTTATTGGTAATGGCATGTAGTAACCTCTGGGGAAAAGAGGTAAAAGGAACAGGTCGGAAGAAGCAGCTGGGAATACCAGCCACCATTCCAAAATCTGCCACGGAGTGGACATACTGACATTTTTTCCTCTTTGTCTGACTGAGCATATGAGGTTTTTCAGTCAATCCTGTGATCTGACCTGATCAGCTCCACAATTATAAGAGAAGTTTAAAACAAAGATGAAAAAGATCCCTTTTCAAGATTTCAGAGAAAGGGATGTTTTAACAGTGGAATTAATGGTCTCTAAGACAGGTTCTATCTGCAGGTCAAGGAAGTCCACAGACTCCTTAGTTTTCAAGGGCGAGCCTTGCTGTAAATGTGTTGTCTGTATGGGATTCATTAAGGTACAATTATTCATAATGTTTGGTTTTGTCCTTTGCTTCTTAAATAGGAACTCGAGAATCTAAAGCGTGCACAAAAGCAGGCCGCAGCCAGTCAGAGCACCACACAGGTTCGCTTAAACAGGGCCCTGGAAGAAGCAGAAAAGTATAAACTGGAGCTGAATAAACTGAAGCAAAGTAACAAGGTACGGGTGTCTTAGGAAAGCAAGTTCCAACCTGTAATCACTCAGTAATGCTGGAATGAGACAAAAGGCTTGATCAGCTTTGGAAGCATTGTGTATCTTGCAGATAGTCCCAAAATTAACTTCGAGCAAGTCACCAAAGAGCTTGGTAAGTTATCTTGGATGACACTACTACAACCTATGCAGGAGGAAGAAGTGTACAGAATAAAAAGAGAAAAGTATATGTACAATCCTAATACATCCACTGGCAACCCATAGCTTCTATCACTGAGATTTTATTTTCTTAAGTTTTGGTGTGGGAATATTTTGATTAATCCTGTTTGTTTTCAGAAGTGTCCTGTGTGGCTGCTGTTTGTCATTTTGGTATGTGATGCCGAGTTTCATTGGTTGAAGCATCACTTTCATAAATAATACATTTCTCCTTTTTCTTCCCATGGTAGGATGCAGCTAACCAAGAACTCAAAACAATTGAAGAATTAAAAACTGAAAACAAGAAACTGCAGAAACAAAAAGGAGAGCTAATGGCAGGTTTTAAAAAGCAGTTAAAGTTAATTGATATTTTAAAGAGACAGAAGGTAAGGGCCAGAGTACTGTTTTAGGTCAGTTAACAACCTCTAGCAAAATGTGTCTGTTGCCAAGTGAGGGAATCGTGTAAACTAGAGCCCTCAGACTGGGAAGTTTCAGTGCATGGGAGGAGCGGCCTCACTTGTATTAGTGCATATTGCTAACGCTTTGCTGCTTCTTTTGAACTGACTGCTTTCCTAACTTGGGACATAGCCTGTCATGGTGAAGGGTTACTGCTGACAAGCTTTAGAACTGAGAGTATCAATTTGTTCAAGAACAAATGCTGTTCAGGTAATAACAGCAACACTCTTTGCTGCTGTGTCTGTAGAGTCCATTTTAGCATGGGAGATTTTTTTTTACCCATTTTACCCCCAGCATATTACTTATCGTATCAGCAGCTGTAACAGCATGCCTGCTCAGGAGTGAGCCATTACATTTCAGACCTAGGTTCTTCCTGGGTTCTCAGTGTGTCCTTCTCTATTAACATGGTTTCTTTTTATGTATACGCTGGGTTCTGTACATGTACAATTCTGCCCAGGTGCACATCTCCTTGTGCGTCAAAGAAAAAAGAAGAGAAAAAAAGAGAGGCTACTTATCCTGGCTGTGAATTTACGAGATAGAAGGAGGGGAGTTACCTGCGTCCTTTTGTAATTCCTGGGATATCACGCATACTTTGAATCATACACAGAGTAGCACATCTGTGTGGCTGCATGGGTGTTCATGTATGCACTGCTCTTGCAGGTGACTTGTTGAGCAGAAGCACCTTAGAAGGGCCAGCCTCTGACAGAAGAGAACATTTGATTTCCCTTTGAGTTCTGCGGTGATCACCAGACATTTTGTAAACACTCTTGAGGCTGTTGAGCCCCCAGAGAGGAAGCATAGTTCTGTATGAAGTGGCAACTTAATGTACCAAAATACACATACTGATCCCAAGAATTGGGAATTGTAGTATGGAAACACACCCTTGAATGTGGAACACCACTCCAACAGAGGAGGACAGGTAGCTGGAGTAAGAGGAACTGGGATGCTCATGCATTTCCAGTGGATGAGAATTTTTCTGGCAGTAACAGGCTGCAGAGGAGATCCTGGGGATTCATCTAACAGAAAGAGCGCTAGCTTAGCCTTTGGCTGGCCTTTCTAGCTCATCCAGGTTTATTTCGAGAATGAAAAAAAAATACAGCATTCACTCAAAATGTACTCTATGCATGAGGTGGCTCACTGTCCTCTGGAACATGAAGTCACTGCAGTGGGAGGCACAGAGCAGTTATTTCTGTTTGACTGTCAACCAAAAACATTGTCTCAGATAAACTTCACTAAATATATTTCAGAAAAACTATGAATACTGTATCAGAACTGCAGATAGTAGAGGAACCCACTTACCTTTTCTTACAAAAAATGTTATTTACTCACAGAGGAAGGATGCTGTTGGTTCTCCTTTCAGAACAGACTATGACTCAAAGAACCTGAAAGAGAATGGTGCTGCCTCTGCCTTGTTTAACTTCTGGCAGAAGGCACGGGGGACAGGCAGCTAAAGCTCACCTGTGCTTAATACGCATCATCCCCTGAAGAACGTCAAGTCTGCTTCACACAAGCCTTCTACTGAATGAATGAAGGAGGAAAACTGCTGCAGGATCAGTTGCAGCTGGCAGCAAGTAGTTGCTGGTGTTCCAGCTGAACTCTTCAGACCCTTCTCTGCTTGTCTTGAGAGAGAATTTAATAGACAATCTTAGTTCTAAAAGGGATTAAGGACGTTAGTCTGAGCTTTACAGAGCCAGAGGGTATCCAGCTGCCTGAGGGAACTGCAATACGCTTGTTGTTGGTGTTTTGAATGGACAGTATGTCTATATAAAAAAACCCCACACAACAGACTCCTTGTAGACATGAATTGTTTCCTGTTCTTCAAAACCATCCCATTTCATTACAATTTGCAGTAAACACTATTTAGCTGGGCCACTTTCCTTTCCACTTTGAATTATGATAGGTAAAGAGATAATCCTGTGGTGTGGGGATGAGGACATGTGGCACAGCTGGGACCTCTGCTGTGACATCAGCTGGAACCCAGGGAGCTTTCAGGGCTCTCCAGCTGCTGCATCTTTTGGACGGGCAGTTCTGTGCACTGACCATTTGTTTTCTCACCAAACCTGATGACCCCGATGACATTTTTTCCAAGCAATTGCATTATTTGAGCAGAAAATATCCTGGTTATAAGTTTAAAAGTTGCTTGCTCCTGTCAGTGTTCCATTTAAATAATGTGCTGTATCCTCTGTGGTGGAAGTACAAATTCAGACTTCTGTGTGATTTTTAAACATATACATCTGTGCACATTAAGGAAATAAGAAAAGCTATTGGTCCTGTTTTACTAGAGCTGAAGTTGCAATGTTTAGTGTAAAATTTATCACATTATCCCTACACTATAATTTTTGTCAGAAAAATATGAATGGCAGCTTCAGCTTAAACAGGTGAACATCCATCAAAACCATAGTACAAAAAAATAGACTGACACGTTGCAGCCTCTCCAGCTATCCCAGTTATATAGGATTTTGTATTGGTCTTTCACACTATTTTACCTTCCGCTCCTAATCTTCTTTTTTTTTTTTTTTTTTTTTTAAGATGCACATTGAAGCTGCTAAGATGCTTTCTTTTACTGAAGAAGAATTCATGAAAGCTCTAGACTGGGGAAATTATTGATTCAATTAAAGAAACAACTTCTTTTTGAAATACAAGTCAGCTGGTACATTCTTTTGGCACTGTATATGAATGCTTGTTGATAATAATAACTGTATATCCCAGTTAAATTATTTTGTTGATTTTGTTTATGTTTCAATCACTTAACTTTTATAAGCCTGATAGCTTGTGTTGCAATATCAGATGAAATACAAATTTCTACTGAAGTTTCAGGCCAAACTGTCCGTTCTGTAATGAGCAGAGAAGAACAGACAGTGTAAGGAATATTCCGGTGAGTGAACTTTGTTATCAGTTTGCTCTGGTTTAGCATTTTAAACTATACCTTATCTAAGGTACTATTCAGTCCAAAGAAGTCAGAGTTTACTCAGAAAATTCCTTGTTGCAACAGAAATAAATTAACCAGTGATCCAGGTGAGAAGAAAATGTCATGTCCTTTTTAAAACGTGGTTGGAAAATTGCCTTACCTCTCCTCTGTAACAGATCTCCCCTCAAAGCTGGTTGGTCTGGCATCTAATTTAAGCACCATCAGCTCTTTCATAGAAATGATCAGAACTTGTTTCAGCTGTTACATCTTCCACCCTGGCTCACAGCAACACACCTGGATAGCGGGTCTCATGGAAGCCTCCCATTGTCTGGTACAGTTGTATTGTATGAAATTGCTGCTTGATTTAGTCAAGGTGATTGAAGTTGAGCATAGATGAGCTGAGTGTATCATGTGTACATTAACGAACAGGAACAAAAAAGCTTGTGCTGTTTGTGTGAACCTCTGTCAAACCTCAGCTATTTCAACGGATTCCTGACCCAAAGTAATTGAGTAGGAACATGGCACAGAAACAGTAAGTTTATGCATTGAAAGAAAGGTATAAACGGTGATTCTGACCTCAAGCTGGAAAAATGTCTCTGTTCAGGTCCTACTAGCCAAGTAACACGAACTAACAGTGAAACAAGTAACTCAGACCTACCCCTTGGAGGTGAGACAAACTACATTTAGATTAGTATTTTAATAGTGTAATGCCAGTGCAGATAAATCTTTAAATTAGAACCTGAAGCAGTGCATCAAGAGAATCTTATAGTCCATAAGAAATGCACACGTGAATTTACACTAGCATAGCTTTCTCTACTGTTGCTGGAGGAAACATTTTTAAGATTGCTGCATCACTAACCGAGCACAATTGAGAACTCTGTAACAGTTTATTGATGAGAAATGCAAGTACAGCATACACTGAAATAAAACTATCTGCTCATCAGTTTAGAACTCCAGTCTTAAAATGGAGACTTGCTACGATATTAAAAAGGAGTTCCTCACTGTTAACAGCAGATGTAAATTTTCATTAGAAATGAGATGACACCTAGTGGCAAACCAGGAGATGAGACGGGGGAAATTTCATCTCTCTTCTCAGAATGCATTACCTCTCCTCTTCTGATAAGCCAGTCTGAATTCCTCTCCAAGCATGTTAATGTCATCTTCATCTTTGAGTACTCCCTGCAATCAGGGGAAAGAAACACACGTCCAAAGGTTAAAGAGAGTATTATGGATCTCTGAAACTTTCCATGGGAGTGAGTGTACTAGCTTGTATCCGTGGTACCGGTGTTACCTTTAACACAAGCCCCCCTTAAAAACCGTCACAGAACTTCAAATTGGTGTGCTTGGTGCCAACCTAGAGCCACCTCTTCTGTTCTTCACAAAAATGATGATGAGAACCCAGTAAAGACTCCAATGTGAGCACCATACAAAAGATACAATTTCTCTGCATTCTCATTCTAAAGAAAGTGATACTCATCAGCTGAGCACGGGCGCAGGTTTAGTAGAATGAACCAACTGTATTGCACTGGCTGGGGCGGGGCTCTACCTCCACCTTTAGTTGTGTTGAAATGAAAAAGAAATTATTTTGGAAATCAACCAATACTGAACGGCTTAATCAGAAACTGTTTTGGGGAAGGGAAGCAGGAGGACCCAGAAATCTAAATCTCTAATTCTAAATTAAGTTTAGGGCTAAACATGTGTATGACCCACAGAACATACCGTGCAATGTTTAAGAAAAAAAAAATTGCATTTATATTGGAGACTTTAGAACTGGGTAGCACTTTGCTATTTAACTGTTCTGAGGGAAGTAACATGGCCTATGACCACGATTCAGACACAGCGCTGAAGCAGAGAGCAGAACGTAGAACATCAATACCATGGACCAGGTGTGAGCCTTGGACACTCTGAAATAGCCAAGACTTCCTACAACAGTAAATTCAAACCAGAAAATTATATAAAAATATTGCCAATTGGAGTTATCCTTGAATTAAATCTACATCAGAAAATAACTCCAAAATTTACAAATTCATGCACCAAATTAGCATATTAATATTTGAATAAAAATTACACTGTGCTATATTTACAATGTCTTCCGGTATTGCAGAAAAGAATTTCTTTAAATAGTTGGATAATTCCCTCCCTGCTGTAAGTGCATTTTTACATCCCTAAAGCTGCCCTCCATTCATCTGTGTACCATGAGGCAGTCTTTCTGATTATGAAGTATAATACAAAATAAATTGTAGTTTACTCCTATTACAATAATTGCTTCCATCTTTTTAACTTTTAAAAACACCAGGATGAGCAGAGTGCTTGGAAATGCTTCTGTAAGCACTGCAGCTTATTGCGCTGCAGCAGAGACAAGGCCTTGTTTCCACGGTAACAGAAGACTCTGGAGACAGCCAAAGCCGTAAGAAATTGCTCCCAAACCCCAACTGAGAAATTTTCTAGCTAGAAAAGCCCTTACACTCCATATCCCAAAACCGGGACCTGCAAAGTGCTGCGGAAGCTTTCAGCAAGTTCTGTACAAGGCACCAACATCACAGTAGAGCCCAAAGCCACCCATGTGAGAATATTTTTGTAAATTGCTTCCCAACTCAAAAAAAAAGAAGAAAGGAAAAGGTGAGCACAGGAGAGCTGACACAATAAGAACACACGCTGACGCCAGGAATTTACAGTTCTGTAACTTCACCTTAAACTGTCCAAGAGAAAACGGACTGACAGGACAAACATTGAAAGCATTTAAAATACAATTCACTTACTCGAGGAAGATAACCCAGTAATTTAGACGCGTGCTCTTTCAGGAGTTTCTGTCTCTCTTCTTCAACAATTGAACGGATGTTTTCTTGTCTTCTCTGCTCTAACTCTCTTTCTTCAAGTTCACGCTTCTACAACAAACAAGCAAGTTTTCCTCACTGTTCAGTTGCAGCTCTGTGAACATCTGTTTCCACCAATATCCCCCATAGTATAAAGAGAACATTTTCTTAGTGGAGTAAATTCTGAACTTCCACTTATTAACTCCTGGTCACAGGAAATCAATTTGAAAAGGATGGAAAAGCGTATGGAAAAAAGCACAAAGCACTGTTTAAACAATACATGTTTGGTAACTAGAAAAAAAAAATCTCAGACAAAAGAGAAAACGGAACGGTGAGACATGGGGCTTGTCTGCTGTGTGTTTAATCTCACACCAGTCAGGTAGTGAACCAAAGTTCCGGTTCCTTCCTGGCTCTCAGACAAGTGAGGCTGTTCCTGCCCTGCTGTTCTAGCCCAGGAAAAGCAGAAACAGGCACATGCGCTCGTGCTGATGACTAGAAATTGCAATTCACATTGCCCATGTGATTCACACCCTATAAACAGGTCTGGAAACTGCAGTACAGGATTCCGTGACTTGTTTTCTGTTTACACCTTCTCTTCCTCAGATTCTAGAGACTTAATCTAAAACTAAGGCTGGGGCTTCCCCTTCCCGCACATCGTCAGAGCTGCCCACCAGGGACACAGAACAGGTCGGCAGTTGTGCTGCTGAGCCCGCGCCTCCTCTGAAGGTATTTGCAGAGCATGTCCCATGGCCGGTGCGCAGGGCTCTCGGGGTCTTGCTGACTCTAACCTCGAGCTACAAAAGAAGTTCGCTCTGAGAAGACTTTTTTCTCATCAGCAAACCAAAACAAGGGCCTGCTGCCCCCCCAGCACATTTCTCTGCAATTCCCGTCACCTTTCCCTAGTAACAATAGTCTCGTGACTTAGGATAGCAGAAGTATTCTCGTATGGAAGCCCTTTGGCTGTGTGAAAACTCTTACTTTATCTGCAACAAACTGTTTGCGACGGTCTTCGATAAGTTTTTCCACAGCCCTTCTGTGTTCAAGCTGTTTCATTCTTCGTTTCTGAGCATTCAGCTGTTCAATGCGATCGTCCTCTGCAAACTTGGCCAACATCTGTTGCCTGAAAGCTTCCTCCTCTTCTTGCATAGCTTGTCGCACTATCTTCTTTAAAGCCAACTGCTCTTCGTATGTTTGCCTTAAGTCCAGGCGCTGCCTTGTTCTCTTTTCGATTTCTGCCTATGAAGGAAATGCAAGAAAACGCTGTTATTACTGAACAAGCTTTGGAAAATTTTGATCACCATCTGCCATCCTACCTGATTTATCTTGGAATGAATTTCCTGTAGCTATTACATTCTGGTATAAACACCTGGAGCAAACACTCCCCATCTGACAGCGCTCTCCAGTATTCACTGGTTTGGCAAATGTCTCAAGATTCTCAAAATTAAGTCCAAAACAAAAGGAGATTATTTTTTTCCCACTAGAATGAAGTGAATCAACAAGACAGTCGACCTGAACAGCTCTCTAAAAATCCCAGTATTAGGTATCTCAGCCTGTGTTACATTTTGGTTGTCGCCCATAGCAAGGTAAGACAGAGCGTGGGCAGGCACACGAGAAAAAGCAAATGGATATGCAACAAGCAAGCAGTTAGTTAACCTCCTTAACTTAACCCTGAACCTGAAAGGCACTGGTATTCTCCTTCATGAGATAAACAAATACATAAAGGGGACAGTAAGGGTACTCAAAACCTTTAGTTGTCTTCCTGCTTGGAATTAAAACAAATATATTAAGGACAGCAAAGGAAACTTAAAGGGCAGAATTTTCCTTTCAAAAACCAAGTTAATAGACAAACTGCTTGTCTGACTAAAAATGTTATGAAATAGTGTTGGAAATAGAGACTTTGTGCCAGAACAGAATTGAAACAATTCAAATTTGTTTCATACACCTAAAACCATGCCAGAATTCAGCTTTTTGCTTCAAGACAGCTCACAGACCAAAATGGGCGCAAGGAGTCCCTCAAAAACATCCCGAAGTCACAAATAACACCGCAGGCTCAGCAAATCCAAAGTGTGAGAAAACCGCAACCCAACCCAGAGCAGTCCCTGAACAACCCTGCCAGCACTGTTAGGGGAGAACAATGTGGAAATGGAAGTTATTGACCTCTGAGGAGCATCCTCAGGTGCAGAAGGAAGTGCATATGGGATATACTCTCACTAAATGTTCTTTAAGCGTCACAGCTCCAGTGACAATGTCCAAAGACCGAAGGCGCCCTGCTCCATCACTCAGACATCAGGAAAAGAGGAAGACTACGTAAAGTGCTGCCCCTGCATTCATGTTATTACTTACATTCTAGTGATTCAAAACTGTTTCATCTTCTCTTTAAATTTTCATATCTGCTCTGTTTCAATTAGATTAGTTTACCCATAGCTACAAATTCTATGTTTTCATGTATATACACTACTATTTTTATTTTATAAAAGCTTCACCCAGACCAGCTCCGTTAACTTGAACGTGCTTCAGGAATTGTGGCAAAGTTGCGATGCTCCCCTTCCCTTGCACTTTCCCTTTACAGTTTACACACAGGTACATGTAACATACCTACAACACATGAAAAAACTGGTATCTGACAAGTATCAAGATATCCATATATGTGTCTGCAGGAGAAGTTCAGGGAAAATGAAATATTCCCCCCATAAGACATGAGTGCTACTTCAATAACCTGCTGCCACTTACCATCTCCTTCTTCCTTTCTGTCTCCGCTTGTTCCTCCAGATACAGCTCGTGTCGTATTTGTTCCAGTTCTTCACGCTTCTGTTGTTCTCTTTCCAGATTTTGGGCAATCTGTTACAAGAAGGAAGGATCTTTAAATGAAAGACGAGAACGTACAGTAATTTTTTCTACGATTTCCATTTTCGATACCATGCTTTGAAGTCTTTCTTTTTTCTCCTCAGCGGCTCGAACTTTAGCCATCCAATCTTCTTCTCTTTGTCGCTGAATGTTGGCAAACTCCATAATCTTCCTATTTTCTTCTTCAATCTCTTCCTGTTTCCTTCTCCTCCAGATAGCTTGTTCTTTTTTAAATTCTTCAATGTATGTATGAGTTGCTCTCATTTTCTCTAACTTCAGCTGTTTTTCCCTGTAGAAGGAAAAAAATTGTTAAATATGTATTTAACATACTGCAAAGTAACATTAAACAGACCATCATTAACAATATATTCCAGGGGCTAAGATTTAAAGGACTCTCCTTACCCTTTCAGCTAGAAACAGGTGTCTAAAGTGAACATCCTTATTAATGAATTGCCCCCAGAAGGGAATTTCACCTCTAACACCTTTCTTCAGGAGGACAGACTGTACACACAGGTACTCGCTACTGCTCCATTTTATAGATGGTCCATCGAAACAGAACGAAGAGAAGGAAGCCCAATAGCACCAGAATCTCCCACATTTTTTATTAATTTAGACTAAAAATCTTACCCGCCGCAGCACTTCCACCCTGCCCTCAGAAAACTCCTTTCCTACCGCTGCCCCTACAACAGTCACACAGCACGTCTCACGAAGAGGCAGAGATCTGTGAAACGCCGTCATTCCCAGCATGATGGGCCCAGTGGAAGCACTCCTTGAAGTAAGCTGGATTTTGTATTTGGGGAACAAGGACACAAGATCGACTGGAATGACGGGAACATTCTGATGTTTAAACAGTAAAATCCATGCCAGCCAGTCTCTTGTTAGTAAAATGTGACAAAGGAAAACTAAAATGGGTCTTAATCTAAGAAATAAATGTGCACAAATTAGTTTTCTATACACAATTATATCTGTTACTTTGTTTTAAATTAATAAATAAAAAAGTAACTAACACTTGATCTTCCTCGTAGATCTTTCTTACAATTTCATCAATCATAAGTTTCTCTCTTAGAAACTCCTCATAAGCATCCTGCTTCTTCCTCTCTTGTTCCTCGACCTGTTTCTCCAGTTCTTGCTGATACATTATTTTCTCCTTGTTTCGCTTCAGTTCTGCAGCACTTTCTTCTTTTATTACCCTCTCGTACTCTTCCTTCATCTTTTGGGCTATTTCAGCCTCATGTTTCTATAGGAGGAAAAAAGCAAAGATTCTTTTTTACTCCCAGTAATACAACTTGTAGTGAAAAAATACACTGTATAAAAAGGAATTACACCACGTTACCAAAATGGAACGTGTTCTACCCCAGCCTATAAATAAAGTGCCTTAATGTGCTTAATAGCTTCATTCAGAGAGTAGAACCCTTTTGAAGGGAACCCTCAGTATCTAAACAACTTGAGCAGAACAAACAGTACTTAAAGGAAGCTTCGTATTGAATGAAGGCACAGTAGAGCATCCAGCACGAGTGAAACTAGCTCACATCGGCATAACAGCTGGAACGGGGTTTAACCACGCAGAACGCCCCCAATGAATGCGCTGTCCTTACAGCAATTCGCATAAACCCGATTTGGTATAAAACATTAATGTGGTCAGGATTATCTGCCTGATCATCAGCATTATTCTACACATAAATAAGAGTTCACAATTCTTTCTGAAGTTACTGAGATACACGTTCAATAAAAGTAACAACGTTTTCAACAGTCTCCTTCTGAGGGAGGGTTGCACCACAATAAGTACTTACTGTACAAAGTGTATCATAGTTTTAACTTGGACAAATATGACACAACCAGTAAAATAAAACCTATATCCATTCATACAGCTTAATTCACTACTACGTTGATTGCAATAGCAAAGTAAACCTTTTTCTCATGGCTGGTTATTACCAGCTAATTAGTCCTTCATAACACAAACCATATTTTCAGCAAACTCCGAATGCCTAAACCTAGTCACACTGTAAATGAAAAGGCCAGCTCTCAGGAAGAATCTTCAGCACAATCCGTACAAGGAGGGACAGCACTCAGGTGCCGGGAGGTGCTAGGAAGGTAATTACCATTTTCTCATACTGTATCGCTTCTTTCTCAGCGACCTGCGCCGCTCGCTCTTTATTCACATAAGCAGATTTTAGCTTTTTTTCTAACTCTCGAAGTTCAAGACTGGAGAAGGAAAAAGAAAAAATAAAAAAAAGTTTTATAGTACTACAAGGAGGTGAGTACTTACAGGAAAAACCTAATCTCAGAGGAAAAATACTGCTCTGGTAAAAGAGCAAAAAAATAAAACCTGTTTAAAACCAAGACCTATCTATATTTGTACAGAGGCTATCCATAGTTCTGCACACTTCACACCTAGCTACACACACGTGTATACACATACATACACCTGTACCCTTACAGATACAGGGATCTATACAGAGCATAAAAATTTAGCGGCTCAAAGAGGGTTTTACTAACAAAATGTGCTTAGAGGTAATTTTTTATCATATCTTGGTCTTAAAGAAGTTTTCCTTTCCTTTCTGGTTGGGCGGCAG